TGACCCCTCCCCCCTCCTCCCCAAGGTTCCAAGCAGGGAGGGCCTGGCACACAAGAAACATGCTGAATGACAAGATGAAACAGTTCAGTGAAGAAGGCAATTTTGCCCCCATGTCTCAGGTGATGAAACTGAGGCTTAGGGATGTGATATGTCTACTGCCTAAGACCAGTGGCCACTAACTAAGATCCTCATTCTTTATGGGTCTTCAGACCCTGCTCTGGATTGCATTGTGTCTCCCAAAAAGATATATCAATCTCCTTCTACCCCCAGTGCTGTGAATGCGACCTTCCTTGAAAATGGGATCCCTACAGAGGTAACCAAGTTTAGATGAGGTCTTTAGGATGGGCCCTGATCCAGTACAACTGGCGCCCTGATAAGAAAAGGATAAGACACCCAGATACAGGGAGAGTGCCAAGTGACGACAGAGGCAGAGACTAAAGTGATGTATCTACAAACCCGGACCGCCAAGGATTGCAGGCGACACCATGGAGCTAAGAGAGGCAGGGAACAGATTCTCCGGGGAGCCTTCAGGGAGACCACGGCCATGCCAACCCTGGATTTTAGATTTCTCGCCTGCAGAACCTGGACAGATTAAACGTCTATTGTTTTAAGCCACCCAGTTTGCAGTAATTTGTTACAGCAGCCCTAGCAAATGAATGCAGACTTCCTTTAGGACTTGTTTTAAAATGTACCTACACACAACACTGTGTACCTCAGAGGATCGATGGTTCCCTGGTCGCCCCACCCCACCCCCCACAACACTTGGTCGCCCTGTGAGGTGGTGGAAGGCCCTGTGTCAGCAGAAAGGGCTCCACGCCTGGCTCCTGTACCTGTCAGCTAAGCCACCGTGAAACGTACTTCCTCCCTGTCTGTACAATGGGAATAATACAGGCGCCCACCCCGACTACAGGTTTCCCACCTGTGGCAGGTGTGGGCTGGAGGAGGGGAGAACCTCAATTTCGAAGCAAGTTCCCAGGTTGTATTCTTCTGGGCCTCACTATTCTAAGTTGCTGAATTGATACTGGGGTGACTTCCAGGGACCACATGGCTTTTGTGACCTAAGGGACCAGACAGCCAAGGATCTGTCCCATCCAGAGAAGGGGTAGGGGACAGCCCTACAGTGTGGAGTGAAGGTCAGGGTCTCAACCTTGATCACACACTAGATTCAACTGGGAGATAAAAAGAAAATACTGATGCCCCAAGTCCCCGACTCTGATGGGAGTCTCTGGGGTGGGACCTGGACAGCAGGACTCTCCAAAGCTCCCAGGTGATTCTAATGGCAGCAACATTTGGGAACTACTGGGTTTAGACTAATCACTGGAAGGACAGTGCAAGGCAAAAAAAAATTTTTTTTTTAAAAAGACTGAGCTCTTACGCCATGGGATTGCTCATTCAATAGGGGGTGACAACCTAGGAAAATGGGGGCGCTCCTTGTCCCTCTGGTGCATCTCATGCACTGGCCCAGCACACAGTGGGCTCCTTAAGTGTTCATCCCTTTCCTGCAGTACAGAGGTCTCAGGGTCTCTGTGTCTCTTGCATGATGATGGACTTCTTTCAGAGCAAGTGTTGCAAGAGTCGCAGGGGAAGCTACAGGCTTCTTACAAATGATTCTCAGAAGTCCCAGGATGTCAATCACACTGCCTTCTCTTGGTCAAGAAAGTCAGTCATTGAGTCCAGCTTAGATTTAAGGGGAGGGGGAACCAGAGTTGCCTCCTGATGTGGGGTCCAGCATGCTTGTCCAGGAGGGAGGGAAGGAATGGATGGGGCCGTCTGTGAAGATGGGCGACCCCACCAGTGACACGGGAGTTTGGGACTCAGTCCTCATAGTCTGTGATTCTCCTGCCCCCTGGGCATCTGGGTAGCCTTGTCCTTCTGGCTACAGAAAGAGTTACTTCTGTTCCCTGCCCAATCCCCCAGAGTCTCCAGGGACCCAGGGACTGTGCAGAGGGGGCTGGGGTGTTTCCAGGGCAGAGGAAAGGGTGGCTGAGCGCCTCCAGGGCTCAGCATGAGGTGGGGTCCATGAGCTGAATGGTCCTCAACCTCTTCTCAGCGCTAACACACAGCCCGTGTGCCCGTACCAGGGCCTATCTGCCTAATACGATTTGCCAGGTGACTGATGTCTGCCTTGTACATCCGAGAAAGGTGTCTCTGTAATGCTTAGTTTTTGAGGGGGAAATCTTTCTTATATCCTCTGAGTCTTTTAAAGCCATGGATGGCAATCATACTCCACAACATTCTGAAGGGGAAGAGGGATGGGTTTTGGGGCCACAAGGATCTGGTTTCTTTTACTCATTTAACCGAGCAGGTGTGCACTCCTGACTCCACCCACCCCTGCGGCTCCTGTCCTTTACAGGGGCCGGGGTTTTCCCCAGCGGCTGCTTCCATTATAAACCATTTCCTCTTCAATGACCTGCAGTGGCTCTTTCTGCCGACTGATTAAAGCGAACTTCTCATCCCTGCCAGGCAACACCTTGGGACCTGGCCCTGGCCTCTGTCTCCCTGCTCTCCTGTACCCCCCTTTCCCTCTAGCACTGGGCCTCTCACCTTCCTGCCTCTGCCTAGAATGCCCTTATTCCCAGGCCCACCAGGGGAAATCTGCCTGTTCTCATCCATCAGAACCTCCATCCTCAAAGCCCTGATGATGACAGGTGTTCGGGGGAGAGCATGTGACACCTAAAGTCACTGTCTTTTCCTGTGAATGTCTTTTCGCGCACATACATCTTCTCACCCTTACATAATCATCTAACAGATACTTGTGGAGGGCCTACTATGTGCCAGCCATCTTGGTCACCCTTGATGAGAATGGCCTGGCTCATCATGTCTCCTACACCCTGAGCACTCAAAGAAAATCTACATCCCATCAACTCTGCCCTAGCATCGCCATCCCAGGGCCTGGCACGGAGCTTGGCACAAGGCAGGTCCTCAACACAAGAGGACAGAGGCACTACCATTTCTCTATCAAACTGCCCACTGCCGATGTGTGGGGACAGTGACTCGGTCCCTCACCCCTGGTGGTCACTGCACACTCAGAGCATGTGCTGAGCACTTACTTTAGCCAAAGCACTGCTAATGCTACAGATAAAGGAGTAAAAGTTCCCGCCCCTGCAGGGATAAGAGAGACAGGGCAACCCCAGGAAGCAACCATTAGAGTACAACACACCATGGAAAGACCACTTCCCAGGGGAACAGGAAGAGATGAGTCATCTTTAAATGTGTCTGCCCTGTCCCTTACACTGTATCTTCAGGGTGAAGCAACAAGGTGGAAATCGGAAACCCAGCTCCCCTCCTTACTAATGGTGTGTCCTGGGCAAATTATTTAATCTCATTGAAGTTTGATATCCTGATCTGTGAAATGAGGATAACAGCACCTAGGTCACAGACTCGTAAGGATTTACTGTAATAAAGTGCGCAAGTACCCAGCGTCCGGCACATAGCAGCTGCTCAATAAACCTCCGCATCTCTCCCCATTGGATGGCACTTCATATTTCTGTTCCTATAGGTGCTAAAAGCCCTGTGTTTATTTAGTCAAGTTACCATAGCAACTCGTGATGCTCTAGCCAGCCTCGGGGTGAGCACAGATCAATTTTTTAAACACAGAACTCCAGCTGTTCAGTGGGATCCAGAGGGGAAGGCAGACAGACACTGTGTGAGTTCCTCTCCCCTCTAGAAATAAATGTGGCGAAGCCTTCTTAGTTACTGTGTAGCTAAAGTCACCACTATTTAAAGTGATGCCCACATCACCATATTTATAAACACAGGTTAAGAACAGGAGACTGAAAAATTAGGCCAAAAAAGGCCAGCATTGCTCATGGGAGCAATTAGCGTTATAGAAAACGTGTTAAGAGGCTGCCAAGAGCTGGATCTGGGTTCCCGGAAGCCAACTTGGGGTTTCTGCACCCTTTCCTGCCTGCACCTGGGGACTCCCTGTCCACACAGCCTGGGTTTTGCTATTACCTTTTAAACAGGCTTCCACCACAGTGAAGTCTGGGGGGAAAGGAAAGTGTCCCCTCAAACTCCATTCCCTGGAAAATTAAAGAACAGCAAGTGGGGGGCCTGCCACACACCCAGTGGGGAAGGGAGGCTCAGTGGCTTTCCTGCCCCTGGGCTCCCAACATTACCGACCCCATCGATGGTGCAAGGTCTGAATTTGGTGCACTGGGACCTAGTCTCTCAGACCAAATGCAGCCTTCGCCTGGTCCCAGGCTTCGGTCAGCACTGGGTCCTCCCAAAGGCCACAGACGACGCGGGAAAGCGGGTGTGAGCCTTTGTTCTGATTCACGAGAGTTAAAGCACGGAAACATGGATCACTCGGCCTCGGAATTCAAGAGGATTCTCGTGGAGCAAACCTCAAGCGATGAGAGGTCATCTGTTTTCCCTGCCGCTGGGAACCTGTTTTGTGTCGAGGGAAGAGTTATGGTCGCGCTGGCACTGATGGCTACAGACTCAGCACAAAGCAGAACAGGATCAAAGGGTCGCTGCGCTCTGCGTTTGCCTGGTCACAAAGCGGGTCTACTGCTTTGCTCCGGGCTATGGTCTCCCCTTAACGGGAAGACAAGCAAGGCGGGGGCGGCTAGTGAAAGATCACCTGGGACCTCGGGAAGATACTGAATGGGGAAGAGTGAGTTTGCACGCATCTGGGCTGTCGGGCCTGGAGGGCTCCCGAGGGAGGCAGCCGGTGGGGGATGGGCAGGGAAGGGGCGACTCGCACTGCCCAGGCCCCTGGCAGCCTGGGAAAAAGTCAACCCAATAAGCTCAGAGCGCACAGCCCGCACCACCTCGGGAGAGCTGAGCTCGCCACCTCCGACGCGCGCACCAGGTGGGTATGCCTGGGCTCGGGACAAAGGACTGGGGTGTGCATCCCCGGCCGGCGTCACCGCGGGGGCTGGACCACCCCCCAGTTCCCGCCCGACGCGCCCAGCCTCGGCTGGAAGGCAGAGACCTTGGCCCCGAACCTGCCCAAACTTGGCGGTCCGGGGCGCGCCCGGAAGGCTCCCCGTTACCTGCGCGGCCATGAAGGACAGATCCATGGTGTCACTGCTGCTCGAGTCCTCGCTGCTGTTGCTGCTGCTGGTCCAGCCTCTTGCACAGCTGGCCGGGAGCGGGCAGAGCAGCGAGCAGGGGTCCTGGAATCCTGCGGCTGCCGCGCGGACCTCAGCAGCCCCTGCACCGCGTCGCGTCCCCAACACGATCCGCGCCCTCCGCTGGCTCAGAGCTCTCGCCTCCAGACAGCTACCCTGCGGAGGACCCGGAGTGCGGGAGCGGGGCGGGGCCGGGCTCCAGGGACCCAGCGCCCCTCCACGTGACCACTCCCAGCCCCACCCCCGAGGCCGGGGCTGGCAGAGCCCCAGAGCGCTCACAATCATCTCCCTGCGTAGGCAGGATGGAGAAACTGACGCCCGAGGCCGCCCAGCTGGTTAGTGCTGGAACCAGCCTTGAACCTAAGTCCAGCACTCTTGGCGTCCCCTCCCGGTGCTCTTGAGCCCAGCCCGCCAGGAGCGGCGAGCAGTGCTTTCGCGGGGTTGGCACGCCTTGCTTGCTGCCTGGCCTGAGGATGAGGGTCAGGGTGACCAGGCTTTCTGTGCCTGCTCATTGCCCAGAGTCCTGAGTGCTCGGAGCTCTGGAGTTAGGCAGAAAGAGGTTTAAATCCCAGCTCTGCTCTGTTGGGTGGCTTGGGCAAGGTTGTGTCTCTCCCAGCCTGGGTTTTGTCACCTGTAAAATGAAGAAAACGGAACTTGAGAATTAAATGAGAGCATATATCTGGTAGGTAGTGTCTTCAAGAAATATGAGCTCTAACGTGGCTAATAACATACAAACAGTGCACAACTTGCACAGCTGGTCCCTAAGGCTCCATTATGATCTTCCCTTGCCTTAAACGAGTGTCCCAAATTGTGCAGACGCCATAGCTGAGGACAACAGCAGAGATACCCAAGGGGACCTATTCCCACGTGCGCGCGTGCGTGCGTGTGTGTGTGTGTGTGTGTGTGTGTGTGTGTAGACACCCAAACTTGGTGTTGGTGGCTAGTCTACAGCAGAGCAGGTGGAAGCTTTGCCCTTCTCTGCGGACTTCCTGGTGAGGAGAGGGTTTTGCTCTGGCGGGTCTCATTACTTGATCTCTCGTGGTGGCGCCCCTCCCAGGACCTTTTCACCCATCATCATCATGAGCCTCTAGGCTGCCCGTGAGGAAGGCGCCCAGGCACTCTCAAGGTTTCTCAAGCTTTCTCAAGGGCAAGCAATCTGTGGCACAGAGAGTTGGAGGGGTTTGTTCGAGGTCACTCAGCAGCTTGGAGCCCAGCAGGGGCTGCTGGAATGGGACCAGTGACTTACCGACTTAGAGACTGTGTGTTTGTGTCCCCCACAAAATTCACATGTTGGAACCCTGACCCCCAATGTGACAGTAATTAGAGGTGGGGCCTTTGAGGAGTACTCAGTTCGTGAGGGAAGGGGCTCTTATGATGGGATTAGTGCCCTCATAAGAAGAGACATGAGAACAGACAATTTCAATTTTAATGTAGTCAAAGTGTGTTCATATTTTCCTATGTAGTTAACTCTTGTTAGGAAATCCTTTCCCAGCTTGAGACCATAAAGATATTCACCCTAAAGATATTCACCTGTGGTTTTTTATTTTGTGTATTTCAGCGTTTTTGTAGCTGTTTACTTTTTGGTATGGGTTAAGGAAGGAATTTTATTTTTCCCATATGAATAATCAACACCCCAGCCGCTCTATTGGCCATTCCAGCCCTCTGCTTGGGGTTAACAACACCAAATTTGCAGATTTCCATCTAAGTGGGGATCTGTTTCTCTGTTGTCTATTCAGTTCCATTGATTGTTCATCCCTCCCTCCATCAATCCGCTTCTGACTTAGTTGCCATGGTGGTTAATTGTATGTGTCAACTTGACTGGGCCACAGGGCTGCCAGCTAGCTGGTTAAATGTTCTTTCTGGATTTGTCCATGAGGGCGTTTCTAGAAGAGATGACCATTTGAATCGGTGGACCAGCGAAGCAGACGGCCCTCCCCGTGAGGGTGGGCACCATCCAACCCCTGAGGGCCTGAAGAGTACAAAAGGGAGCTGGCAGGTGGAACTCTCCCTCTGCCGAAGGCTTGCGCTATTTTAAGTTTTGATGAAATCCAATTCATCACTGTTTACTTTTATGGATTGTACTTTTGGTGTCAGCTTGAAGAACTCTTTGCCTAGCCCTATATCCTGACAATTTCCTCCTATGTTTTCTTCTAAAGTATTTATAGGTTTATGTTTTACGTTTAAGTCCATTTTGAGTTACTTTTTATATCAGGTATGAGACTTCTGTGGCGGTTTCTATCTTGCTTATGGGCTGTTTGTCAAAAAGACTACCATTCCTCCACTGAATTGGAGGAAACCACTTTCACACTCTTGTCAAAATCAGTTGGGTCTATTTGTGTGTCTACTTCTGGGTTCTTTATTCTGTCCCATTGATCTGTGTGTCTGTCCCTTTGCTGATAATGATATCACAGTGCTGACTATTCTAGCTAGATGCTAAGTCTTGAAATTGGGTAGACAGATTCCTCTCATTTTCTTGTTCTTTTTCAAAAGTGTTTTACCTATTCTAGTTCTGTTTTGTCTTTCCATATAAATTTTAGAATAATTTTGTCTGTATCTACAAAAAATCCTGCTGGGGTGGAATTATGTTAAATTTATGTATCAAATTGGGGAGAAATTACATCTTTACTATGTGAGTCTTTCAATCCATGAAGACAGCATGTCTGTCCACTTATTTCTATCTTCTTTGATTTTTGTCATCAGTATTGCATAGATTGTAGCATACAAGCCCTGAACGTATTTGTTAAATTCACAACTAAATTTCTTTCTTTTACTCTTTCTTTCTTTCTTTCTTTCTTTCTTTCTTTCTTTCTTTCTTTCTTTCTTTCTTTCTTTCT